GGGGATTTAGCTCAGTGGTTTCACTGCCTGCCTTGCAAGTGCAAGGACCCGAGTTTGATCCCTGGTACCAAAAAAAAAAAAATTGGACCCTTTGAAGAAACTGTTGGGAAAAAAATGAAAGTTTGCAACTTACTTAAGGTAGAGCAATCACTTCTTATCAGGCACTGTTTACCATTAAAAAGAGAGGGACCTGCCAAGTGCAAGGTCCTGAGTTCAATCCTTGGAACCGAGAGGAAAAAAAAGAGAAACAACTTAATCTCTTTCAAGAATAATAACAGCAAACTTTTTGTTTTTGTTGGTTGGTTTTTTGAGACAGGGTCTCGCTGTGTAGTCCAGGCTGGACTTGAACTCACTATGTAGCCCACGCTGGCCTCAAACTCACAGCGATCCTTCTCCCTCAGCCTCCCAAGTGCAGGGATTACAGGTGTGCGCCACCTTAGCCGACCATAACAGAAAACATTTATGCAGCACTTCTGCTCTGCTCCAAATTCTTGACAAATTTAGTACATTTAGTATACTCAATTCCCCAAAAAGAGAGTACTACCCTGTTGCTCACCTACTTATAAGGGAACCCAGGACTGCAGGAGTGCTGGAGGCTGAGGGGCACCCAGGGCCCTGGCCCACCCAGCACCACAGCGGGGAGTGCTTCGCACAGTTCCTCCTGGTCAGCAGCATTTCCATGTGCTCAGGACAGAGGCCCAGGCCTGTGGGCCAGAGGATCATGAAGGCAGACAGAGAGGATGTCTCTCCAGAGCAGAGGGTGGCGTGTTCACAGCACACCAAAGTGATGTCTCCCTCTGGAGTGGAAAGCAGGTACTTTGTGCCCAAGTGTAACAGGTGATTCCCCGGCTCGGGCTTCCTCTCCTCATTCTTTGGAAACCAGTGTGTAGACATGTCCATATTCTGACTGAAGCTACTGCGAATGACCTCCAACCCAGAAGTCCTCTCAAGCATGGGAGGTTAACTCAGCTTGAAAGCAGGGGAACTCAGACTTCCCAGTTCCTCTGCCTAAAGTCTCACAGCTAGCAGGTAGCGCACTGAAGAGTAAAGCCAAGCTGCCCGACTCGGAACCCAGGCTTCTGACCCCTCTGCTCTGCGGCAGTGGTGCTCGAAGCTTGTGGCTCCAGAAATAGCAGCAGCAGCAGCACCTGCAAGCATGTCACCACCAGCCTACTAAACCAGAAACTCAGGTGGTGATGGCACAGCTGCTCTGAGAAGCCTCACAGGAGAGGCTGAGGCACTCAAGAGTCCGAGGACTACTGCTCTGCTATGTGTATTCGCTACATGGGGTGGGAGCACCCTGCTTTGCATAGCGGTGTAAATGGAATAATTGATTTCTGCACCAAGGCAGCCCGTTTGTAAGCCCTTTTATTTAACTTTTAGGGCTTTTTTCCCCCCAGTATTAGGGTTTGAACCAGTGCCACCACTGAGCTACACCCCGGGCATTTATTTTGAATTTTTTTTTTTTTTTTTTTTTTTTTTTTGTTTTTTTGAGACAGGGTCTCACTTTATAGTTCAGCCTGGCCCTGAACTCACTATGTAGCCCAGGCTGGCCTTGAACTTGGAGAAATCCTCCTGCCTCAGCCTCCCAGGTGCTGTGATCACAAGCATGCACCACCAAGCCTGGCTCCCTTATTTTATTTTGAGACAGGGTTTCATTAAATTGCCCAGGCTAGCCTCAAACTTGTGATCCTCCTGCCTCTGCCTCCTAAATAGCTGGGATTATAGGTGTGTGCCATTGTACCCCAACAGAAAGGTTAGGATCCTCTGCAAATAAATACCATGTTAAATAAATCTGTATTATATTTCCTTGGGAAGCACAAATATATGTCTAGAATGCTAAGTGAGAATACCTACATTTTCATGCCCATGATGATCAGAAAAAAATCACTTACCCAAAAAAATTATTTATTTTTTAAAGTCAAAGGCCAGGGGTGGTGGCTCGAACCTGTAATCCCGGCACTCCCAGCACTCAAGAGAAGCTGAGGCAGGAGGATTGCCACAAGCTGGAAGCCAGCTTACACTACAAAGTGAGTTCAAGGCCAGCCTGAACTGCATAGTGAAACCCTGTCTCAAAAAGACCAAATAAACAAATAAAAAAAGTTGAGCCATGATTCATGAAAAATCAAAAACCACATATTAACATAGCCAACAGAGCATATCATAGCAGAAAGAGCACCAAGCTTTGAGTCAGTCAGAGTCGTCACTTCAACTCAATTTCCTGATTTTAAAATGGAAACTGAAGCTCGAACTTCAGAATTCCAATTAGGCTTAATGATGTGTGGCTGGAAAGTCTTTGGTGATCCCCAAGTGCTGGGGGGGGGGGGCTTGTTTTTGCTGACCATGGTGTCACCACAATTATGCTCACAGCCCAGCCTGACACGTGGGAGGTGCTTGGGAATGAACAGGAGATAATTTACTCATGAAGTGATCGCTTCCTTCAGGCTCTACAACAATGTCAGTCTTTAAGCAAGGAAAAGTCACTAATGAGAAATCCTTAGTCATGTTTAAAATGGGCCAGATAATTTAAGAAAATCAGCTGATTCTCTTCCCGGGAGAATACTCCCAAAGGAGTCCATCCTAAGGCCTGAGACAGACATTCCCAGCAGCAACCCTGATGGCCTCACTTCTGCGGTGCACACACAGCCAATCAGTAATAAAACCTGCTCGCCTGCCACAGACTTCCACACACAGCAGAATGCTCACAAATGGGTTGTGGGGTTTATGGAATTTATTTTATTTTTAAATGTAATTTATTTTAATAGGATCTGAGATTCAAGCCAACAATACTCACTAAGTTCCTGCTGCATGAGAGACTACTAGAAAGCCATTGCCAATTAAATATCCTCTGGGAGAAGAAACCACTGCTGACTTCATAATTTAATGAGCAAAATGTAATTTGTTTACAAAACTTGGTGCATGTAACGGTAAATGCAGTTCCTTAATTTGTACTCTCTAATGCACTTCTCAATGCCTAAAACATTAGTTAATGGTGGGTCTATGGCCTTGAAATGGGGAACTTTGGACTTCTAGCTTTCACAAACATATTGAAGACTATAAATGTGTGCCCCCCGCAGATTGCTTCCAGGGCAGAGCTTTGGGGGTGAAGAGGAAAGCACAGCCCTGCTGCCAAACCTTCAACTCCACATATTCAGGGTGCAGGGTCCCCTGTGCCTGTCTTACACCTGTCAAACATTTACATGGAAATTCAAGTTACCTTCTAAGAACTACAAGCATATGGCCATCTCAAGACATAAGATTTAATCAACTAACTTCATAAGGAATTATGCTAATTTACCTAATGAAAAGCACAGATCCCAGAGCTAAGCATCAAACTTTCCACTTGCTTTTCAAAAGACACTAAAAACAAGTTTTTCTCTTCTACGCTTCTTTTTTCACTCATCTTTTCAACTCTCATACAATAAGTAACTTTAAATAACAACATATGGCTAAAGTAATTTGAAGGAGTGTCTGATAAAGATGCAACTCCTAGCCATGTGGTGGCTCATGCCTGTAATTCCAGCACATGAGACGCTGTAACTCCTAGGTGTCTTTTATACTTTTTGAGATAGGGCCTACCTATGTATTTCAAGATGGCCTCGAACTCAAGGTAATCCTCCTGCCTCAGCCTCCTGAGTGCTGAGATTACAGGAATGTACCACCACCTCTGCCCTAGGTCTCTTAACTGAAATCTCTTCCACACTTAATCCCAAACCCAAATAAACACGTATCTTAGTCAATTAAAACACAGACTGCTAGCTCAACCAGCTCTCTACAAAACTCAGTTAAACCAGATAGGAAACAGTTTGATATACCGATTACCTACCCGTAGTGACAGTGACTTCTGGTGGCAAAAAATGTATGCATATTCAGCATACTACAGAAGAGAGCAGCGTCAGAAATCTGGACTTTATCTGGCTGTCTGTTCTTGGTCTTTGAGTGACCTTTCTATTCTAATTGAGCACACTGTCAAAATCACGTTTTTGCAAAGTTGAAGAATTAAGCAAATGGCATGCCAAAAACCCTGCAGAAATTCCTATTGCCGTAATGTCACAACCACTTAATATGTAAGAGCTTATTTTAATATGTAAACGCAAAGAATTCACAACACACTTGCCAGGTTATTGTCCCTTAGAAATGTATTTGGAAAATGAATATAGTTTCCAATATCTAAACTTATTTTCTACACCCTCAATTCTTCTTTATTTCAAAGTGACCAAATCTGTCCCAAATACTTTCTCTGGTCCTTTCGCTCCTTAAAAACAGCTGAATTCAAATGAGTTTTCCTAGTTTTAATCCCTACTAATCTCTTTTCCTGCATTTTCCTAACCTCCCCGAGTCCCTGTCCTGTGCTGCTCTCCACCCCTTTTCTGTGGATTCATGGTCCTACGCAGCCCTCTCCAACCCCGGCAGTACACCGCACCTCTACACCAAAGCCAGGAACCATCCAGAACTCCCGGTTCCCCTCGAACCTCCCTGCAGAAGCGCCGGCGAGGCCTCCCCCGCCGAGGACCCGAGGAAATGCGGGCGACGAGGAAGTCAGCGGCCGGGCCGGCCCGGGACGGCGGGGGGCCGGGCTGTGCTGGGGCCCCGGCGCGGCCGGACCTCGGCCTTCGGGTCCCAGCGCCCCGTGTGACCTTGCTGGGGTCGCCCGCGGGACCGAGGTCGCTGCCCGCCTCGGGGGGACCGCTCCAGGGCCGCGCTCGGCCGGGCCAGGAGCCCGGGCCCGGGTCCCGGTCCGCTGAGCGCGGTGCAGGCGCCTCGGGGACCCCGCGACCCCACCGGCGACCGCACCGGACCCCGCCGCGCCAGCTCCCGGTCCCCGCCCGTGCCCGCCCTGGGTAGGCGCCGCCGGGCGGAGGGGCCGGGGACCCCGCGTCCGCCCCCCGAGAAACTTCTGGGCGCCCCGCGACGCGGCCGGGACCCGGCAGGGGGGTGAGAAAGGTCCTCACGGGCCCGCCGCGCTCCGGTCCGGCCGGGTCGGGACGCCGCGCCCTCACCTTCAGCTGCGCGTCGGCCGGCCGCGCGCCCTGGCACCGGCCCTTTCCGGCAGCTCCGTCCTCCGGTGGCTCCGAGAGGCGGCGGCGACAGCGGATCCGTACGGGAGCGCAACGGACGGAGTGCGCAAGACCGCGCCGCCGGGCTCAGCGCCGGACGCCCCGGGACGCCCGCCACGCCCCGCCACGGAGGACACGCCCCGCCTCGGAGGATACGCCCCGTCAGCCCCAGGGACCACGCCCAGCCGCAGAGGACACTCCCCGCCAGCCCCATAGGTCAGCCCCCGCCGCGGAGGACACGCCCCGTCCGTCCCGGAGGACACGCCCTCACGAGGCCGCACCCCCGGGACCACGCCCCGAGTCGCAGGCCTCGCCCCACTCCTTCGGGCCACGCCACGCCCCCTCCCGGGGGGGGGCGGGGGCTGTCGAAGCCCTGGAGCTAATGCCTGGCTGCCCCGCGTCACCGCAGGGATCAAGCCCTCTGCCCTCCCCTCTTCCCACTCGGACCCCATAGCCCCTACTCTGCCCAGCCCCTTCGCTGTCCCGGGTGGAAACCCCGGCGGTGGACGCTTACATTCCCAAAGGAGGCAGTGGCTCCCTCGCGCTATTTCTCGTGGGCTGTTTTCCCAAGTACAACTCCTGTCCACTTTCTAAACCCACTGGAAGATGAGCTTACTAAACTAATTCAGGTGTCCCTGATGGAACCTGCTGCGGTGCTTTTTTGCTTGTTTTTTGAGATAAGGGCTCACCAGTGGCCCAGGCTGACCTCGAACTCACGGCGATCCACCTGCCTCGGCCTCCCGAGTGCTGGGATGACAAGAGTGCACCGTCACGCCCAGCCGTGGTGTCTTTAGGCAAAAACATTAGTATGATCCCTGGGGAAAGTGAACAGGAGTCACCTCTGCCAGTGTCTGTGAAGTTCGTACAGTTTTCTGACAGAAACTGGTGTCAATCGATAACAAATATTTCACCTCCTTTGCACCAAGATGCCATAGTCCTGCCTCAGTGCTCTTCCGACTGTTGCCAATGTACAAAATGACCTGGGAGAAAGGGACAGGCAGTGACGCGTGCCTGTCCTACAGTGTCCTATAGTCCTATAGTCCTGCATGCCATTGGGAGGCTGAAGCAGGACCATTGCCCAGCCCAGGAGTTCAAGGCCAGCCTGGGCACCCCACCCCCCACCCCATTTCCTAAAGAAAGAAAATGACATGGACAGTGAACATTTGATATTATAATATTATTTTTCTGCCTTTGGAGCTGAGAGATGTAATTTTGCAAAATTTTGTTGAAAATGATGCAGGTTTGGTTGAGAGAGTAGTCATCGTATTTTTAGTGCATGTGTGCATACGTGGTGTGTGGGGGGGTACTAGGGATTGAAGCCAGGGCCTTTGCACTGAGTTGTATTCCCAGCCCTTTTAAATTTGGTATTGTGAAACAGGGTCTCGCTAAGTTGCTAAAAGGCCCAGGCTGGGCTCTAATTTTAGATCCTCCTCCCTCAGCCTCCCAGAGTGCTGGGGTTTACAGGTATTATGGGTATGTGCCACCACGCCCAGTTTATAGAACTATTTTGTTTGGTTGGTTGCTTGGTTTTGGGTTTTTTTTGAGACAGAGTCTCACTATGTAGCCCAGGCTAACCTAGAATTTGTGGCGATCCTTCTGCCTCAGCCTCCCCAGTACTAGGATCACAGGTGTGTGCCACCACACAGGTGTGTGCCCACTATAGGGCTGTTCTTAAAGCTAGGTGCTAAGTGATGGGACACATCAACAACAAAAACAGAAATCCTAGGCCAGGGATTTAGCTCAGTGGTTTCTCGGCCTGCTGCGCAAGCGCAAGGACCCAAGTTTGATCCCTAGTACCAAAACAAAAAAACAACAACAAAAACCCAGAAATCCTGCTTCTGTAAGATTCCAGTGCAGTGGCAGGTAAAGAGCAATTCCAATGTGCACTTACATGGATTTGTCTCCTGAATGGTGACAGATTATTTAAAAATACTTAAAATTAGTTTTGCTGCCAGGAACAGTCTCACATACCTATAATCCCAGCATTCAAGAGACTGAGGCAGGAGAATCACCCAAAAGTTTGAGGCCAACCTGGACTACACGGTGAGTTCAAGGCCACCCTGCAGTACATAGCAAGACCTTATCTCAAAAGCAAAACAAAATAAAAAAAGGTTTGTTAGGGCCAGGGATTTAGCTTGGTGGTGGTGATTTCGACGCCTGCTTCGCAAGCTCAAGGACCCGAGTTCGATCCCCAGTACCAAAAAAAAAAAAAAAAAGTTTTGTCAGAACAAAGGAAAACCAAAAGCTAGAAGAGTAGCTCAGTGTGAGCATGTGGGTAGAAGGAATGAAACTTGGGTCAGTCCCCAGCAACCACCAAAGGCAGGAGAGCCATTCTGGGATGGAGTTTTTCAGTTTCTTAATTTTAATTTTTTATATTCATTAGTCCATGTTTGCAGTACCTAGTGATAATCCTCTTCGTGGGGTTCCAGTACCTCCACATGACACATCTTAATTCCTTTCACACCCCCTTTCCTTCCCCTGAATTTCTTGGACCCCTTCCCTTTTGCAAAAGATCTTTCTTACTGTCTAGTGACTTCTATTTTGTTCTTTAGTTTGTTGTGTTTTTTTGTACCAGGGATCAAACTTGGGACCTTGTGCTTGCAAGGCAGGTGCCAGAACCACTGAGCTGAATGCCCAGCCCTAATTTGCTTTGTTTTTAAAAGTAGCCTGTCCCTCTTATCCAGACCACATTTTATGAATGGTGAATAAATAGGCTATTTTTAAATTTAAAAGAAATTGTGATGCTGGGGATGAACCCCAGATGCTATTTCAGAGAGCTATACCCCCATTCCTAATTTTTTTTAACTTATGACATAAACAAAAGAAAGAAATTATGCAGTGGACCTATATTTAACTTCAATAGCAACATTCTCTTCCACCTTCTTCATTACAGGAACTCATCAATTACATTTTTAGCATACTCAATAAAATTCCAGTACCCTCTTAATTTTTTGTTGTTGTTGTTGTTGCCAGCCTGGGCCACATAGGAAGACCTTGTCTCTAAAAATAAATAAACATTTTTAAAAAGTAAAAGGAAGAAGAGGACATACTCGAAGAGAAAATAAAGTTAAATTTCTTATAATTAAAGATGAACAATTTCAGGGCTGGGGATGTAGCTCAGTGGCACCGTGCCTACCTGGCAAACACAAGGTCCTGAGTTCGATTCCCAGTACCCCCCCCCAAAAAGATGACTAATTTCATATTGTAGCAAGTCATAAAATCCCAAAGAGAAAAGGAAAAACCCACGTTAGACACACTATGGTAAAATTTAAGAGTCCCATAGTCAAAGATGAAATTGTGGAATCTTCTAGAAGAAAGAGCCCTATTTGGGGCACAAGCAGCAAACACTGATAGCAGAGCTCAATAGCACACGGGTGCAGGACCTGTTTTCCTGTTTGGGTCCTGGATTAAACCCAGAAGCTGTTGCATGCCAGGTCCACTCACGCAACCCCTGTCTTATTTATTTATTTATTTATTTGTTTGTTGTTTTTTGAGGAAAGGTCTCACTTTGTGGTTCAGGCTGGACTTGAACTCACTATGTAGCCCAGGCTGGCCTTGAACTTGAGGCACTCCTCCTGCCTCAGCCTCCGACCAGCCCTTTTTTTTATTCTTTTTTTTTTTTTTTTTGCCCTTTTCATTTTTTATTTTGAGATGGGAGTTTTGCTAAATTGTCCAGCCTGGTCTTGAGCTTGCAATCCTCCCACCTCTACCTCACAAGAAACTGGGATTATAGTCATGTGCCATCACACCTGGATACAACTAATATTTATTAAATTCAGAAAACAAAACCTTTGAACCTAGCATTTTATATTCAAAATTCTAAATAAATTGTTTTGAAATATAAAGGCAGGGCTGGAGATTTAGCTCAGTGGCACCGTGCCTGCCTCGCAAGCACAAGGTCCTGAGTTCAATCTCTGGTACAGCAAAATAAATAAATAAATAAAGGCAGAGTGAATATGACACTAGCATACAAGTTCTCAGAAAATTTGTCCAATCAGAACTCACGTTGGAGGGCCGGGGATTTAGCTCAGTGGTTCTGGTGCCTGCCGCTCAAGCACCAAGTCCCGAGTTCGATCCCCAGTACCAAAAAAAAGAACAACAAAAGAATTCACATTGGAAACAGTTTTGAGGAAGAACTCAAATAAGAAGAGAAACCATAGGGCCGGGGATTTAGCTCAGTGGTTCTGTCGCCTACCTTGCAAGCTCAAGGACTTGAGTTCGATCCCTGGTACCCCCCCCCAAAGAAAGAAGAGAAACCAAATCCACACAGCCTTTGAGAAATATGAGAGTGAGAGAATCAACAGCTCACTACCATTTGCTATTGCCTTAAAAAAGAAAAAGCAACCAGGACCCAGGGTAAACAGATCAATTACAACACAGATCTAAAATCCTAGAGAAGCACCTGCTCCTCAATTCAAGTATTCAATTATTTTTGCAGCACTGGGGACCAAACCCCAGGCCTCTTGTTGTTAGGTAAGTGCTCTACCACTGAGCTACACCGTCAACCCCAAGGTAAGGAGGAAACTGGGCCAGGGGTGTTGGCGCATGCCTGGGATCCCGGCACTCAGGAGGTAGGGGCAAGAGGGTCGCAAAAAAAAAAAAAATCAGTAAGTTATATCCGTCAGGAGACAGGAACAAATACTGGTGATTTATCAGGGAAATGTTAGTGTAAAGTTGATTAACTAATAAAACCTGTTAACTATTAAGAGGTCAATGATAAGTCTAAAAAAACAGCAAGTTAAGCTGTACTGCTATCTTGAAGCTTTAAGGAGACTATCCAAGGGAGGAACAAACTTTTTTTTTTTTTTTAGGTAGGGGGGGATCAAAGTCCCTTCCTTGAGCTTGCGCAGCAGGCGGCGAAACCACTGAGCTAAATCCCCAGCCCTTTTTTTTTTTCCTTTTGAGATAGGGTCTCGCTATGTGGCCCAGTCTGGCCTCGAACTCGCAGCGATCCTCGATCCTCCTGCCTCAACCTCCCAAATGCTGGAAACACACAGGCAAGTGCTCAAGGGAGAAACAAACTTCATT